ATGCATCGACTTTGTGCTAAGCTCGAGCCATCTATAACCATCACCGAGCAAAACCTGGCAGACCGAGTTCGGTATATCTTGCGCTCAAATACATTTGATGTCACCGAACTCGAACGGCTACGACGTGAGGCTGTTCCTTCATCGGATGAAAATGCTACGGCTGAGGATGCAGCGCCACAACTTGCACAGCAATCGGCAAATGTGGATGGCGCCGTGAATACCCCAGTTTTGGTTGATTCAAACGATGATGGAACAGTCGCCCAGGAACTGGAAGTGGAGCAAATGAGGAGTACATTGAATGAGGCGATTTTGGAAACGCGCAGTACGCCTCTCGAAAATCGACCGCGACTTCACCGCATAGATCTAAGCAAGCGGAATCGGAATGTCGTGAGGGCTCTGAACCCAAATTTGGTGACCAATTTGGAAGCCAGCCGGGACCTTTGCGAGACGGACTCATTTCTCTTTGGCGCCGCACTGGCAATCTGCCGTATTATAGGCGCCAAACTTTCCACGGCTGGACGCACTACTGGACTAGTGCTATCTCTTGTTCTCTAGGCTGGGATAGCGCTACTCGAGTAGCGCTATCCCAGCAGAGAGAACAAGAATTGAAGAACGTATCGCAAAGGCTAGGACCCTCATCGGCAGCCTGATATGCTTTAGGTCAGGCAATACCAGGCCAAGGATTGTGTTCACCGCCAGGATAGCGTTTGCTGGGACAAATGTTAGTTCGTCCCAGCCGGATATAATGAAAAAACTGACGGAGCGCATAGACGACCTGAAGCAGAGAATCGCTGCTTGGGGAAAGCGAATTTGGCAATATACCGAGAAGTCGACACGGTTCAACAAGAATCGTCTCTTCCAGAGTGATCAGAAGAGGCTCTATAAATCATTGGATCAACCAATGGTAAGTGGAACGGGACCAGTACCGAATCAGGCCGATACGGTCGCATTCTGGCGCAGCCTGTGGTCAGAGCCCGTAAATCACAACGAGGGCCCTTGGAAGGTAGTTGTGGCGAGTCAGTGTGCGGGTATTACGCCCATGCATCCCGTCATCATAACGCCAGATGACGTAGCTGAGGTGGTCTGTAGGGCCCCGAACTGGAAAAGCCCGGGGCTTGACGGGCTGCATCACTACTGGCTGAAGGGGTTCATGGTGTGTCACGCTGTGCTCGCCCGACAGTTTCACGAGGCTCTCAACCAGAAGTCGCTCCCGAGCCTCTCTACTACTGGGATCACTCATTTGGTTCCTATAGATCAGGGTGCCATAGACCCGAGCAAATACCACCTCATCACGTGTCTACCGACCATATACAAGACACTCACATCCATTTTGAGCGCGAGAAACACTCGTAACCTGGACTCCAATCAAGTTACGTCGCGTGGTAAAATGGATGTCGAGGCGGCGGTCGTGAAACCAAGTAACCACTCCTCATTGACGCGGTCATTGGCAAAGTGGTGAAACGCAACCGTCGGAACTTCTCCGCCGCCTGGATAGATTACAGAAAGTCATTTGACTCGGTGCCCATACATGGCTAAAGAGGGTCCTCGAGCTGTTCAAGATTGACTGTACATTTCGAGACTTCCTTGAGCAGTGTATGGGGCAGTGGAGTACGCTCCTCTGTCATCTAGGCGAGCGGATGACGGCTGCGGAAAGCCGCATAAGGATAAGAAGGGGTATATTCCAGGGCGACTGTCTGAGTCCAATCTTGTTCTGCCTCTCTCTGAACCCTCTCAGTACTTTACTTGAGGGCTCCGGGAGGGGATTTCAGCTTCGGAAAGGAGGTACAAAAGTGACCCACCTTTTTCTATATGGATGACCTCAAATTATACGCCTCCAGTCTCTCCCATCTTTTGGAATTGCTAAACATCACTTGTGAATTTAGCAATTCTATTAGAATGGAGCTGGGGACGGATAAGTGTGCGGTCCTCCATGTTGAAAGGGGAAGGGTTGCTAACTCTGAGGGCATAGACTTAACTATGCCCGTCAACTTTAGGACCCTTTCCGCGGCTGAAACATACCGATACCTGGGTATGTCACAGAACATCGGTATCGATGAGGCTGGTATGAAACAATCAGTTTGCGACGTGTTTTATACACTTTTGACCAAAGTGCTTAAGATCCTTTTGTCCGGTGTGAATAAGACACACGCATATAACGTCTGGGTCATGCCTGTCCTCATGTATACCTTTGGCATACTCAGGTGGAGTCAGACTGAACTTAACGACCTGGATAGAAAAATCCGCACTACAATGACCATTTCTCTATCTCTGTACTTGCCGCGAAAGCATGGTGGGCGTAGCTTCCTGAGCGCGCTCACCATGCATAATCGCGAAGTGTGCAGCCTCCGTCATTACTTCCTGGCGAGATCGGATGATCCATTCTATAATAACGTCATTTCTAGTGATAAAGGACTTAACCCTCAATCCTTAGCCAACGAGCAATGGCAGGACCCAGCAGAACAGAGCATTTCCGACCGGGATACCGCATGGAAGGAGAAGGAGCTCCACTGGAGGTACTACAGGGCTCTACATGAGCCCCACGTAGATACAGCCGCATCCCTCAACTGGCTACGTTTTGGTGACCTCTTCGGGGGAAACCGAGGGTTTTGTCTGTGCAATACAGGATCAGGTTATTGAGACCAACAACTATCGTAGATACATCCTAAAGGATGGCACTGTCGACGTCTGTCGAGCTTGTCGCCATCCCACAGAGTCACTTAGGCATGTCATCTCCGGTTGTTTGGCGCTTTCTAACTCTGAGTACTTGCACAGGCACAACCTAGTAGCCAGAATTCTACACCAGGAGCTCGCTCTGAAATACGGTCTCGTGGACCGGTAATTGCCGTATTACAAGTACTTGCCGGAAGCCGTGCTCGAATATGACGCGCCAGGCTCTACTAGGACCGGGCCATCATCACGGACAGGACTATTCTTGCGAATAAGCCTGATATTGTGCTGATGGACCGGGCACAGTCAAGGATATTTTTGGTCGATATTACCATTCCGTATGAAGAGAACCTCGTGAAAGCCGAAACAGATAAACGAACAAAATATCTGGACCTGGCTCACGAGGTGACCGACATGTGGGGTGGTATGCCGGCCGAAATTATTCCTGTAGTCGTCTCTGCGAATGGACTCCGTAACGGACCACTCCGGGCTCAAATGCAGAAGGCGGTGCTCCTCGATACCGCCCGCATCGTCCGCCTGTTTCTTTCCCTTTCTTCCTAACCCTCGGCCGTTTGGTCTCCCCTGTCGAGGGCTTCCATCTGGTTGGGCTTTTATTCATTTATTTATTTTTGTATTTAATTTATTTTATTGATATTTATGTATATTTATCTTTTTCATTTTAATTTATAATTATATATTTATAGAACCCAACCAGATGAGAAAACTATATAGATACCCCACATAATAATAATAGAAGATACACAAAAATATCAATATAAGGGCAAAAACCCCTAAATACTAAATATTTAAACCATGATAAAAATTAAAACATGGTACATTTTTACCTCGTAGGTCTTGTAACATAGTGTGTACATGCATGTTTTACCGCTTTATCGGTATGTAAATATTACGTCAACGTGCAATTTAATAATTAAAATTAGAAAAATACAAAATTACAATATTGTTTCATCTTAATTTGAATAAAACAGTAAAAAAAAGAAAAATATACAGGCATGGTCATATCATAATGCATAATGTCAAACTAGTATAATGTCAATCTTAAAAACTCTAAATCATTTGTCAATTTAGAATTTTATATATCAACATCAATTCGCTTGAGGTGACCGTCATGGCAGAATTTGATAAATTCATTTATGTCATAAAAACAATTTTCAATCAGAATCCCGAAAATATTTTTTTAAAAAGTTTAAATGTCAAACTTTGAATATGGTTCGGGAGTAAATTAAAGTGTCGAATGCACATGCTATAACTATTTCTAGCAAAACAAGTTGTGGCTATCTGGGGCACAGATAACTTCCACGGGTACCTTCTTGTACCACAACAATCATTATGTTGTTTTGTGAAGAGGTTAGCATTTTTTTTTTGTCAAAGTTAAAATTTCGTATACATATAGAGAAGGTAATGTAAGAATATTTGACTTTTGAAAGAGTGGTCTACATGATTCCATTTGACCAACACCGCATATATCATATATCTTATACATATATCTTATACAGCTCTTCTGTAGTATAAAAACACGAGAAAAGTGTGTCGAATTTCCCCACAGAATCAGTCCATACCTCAGTATAGAACCAACGTATCCATAGTAAGCCATCAGAACTGTCTTAAGGTTGGCTAACTTTGACAGACGATACAGAGCGAACACAAACCTGTTAATCCTCTGGCATGCAGTTTCTACGTAATTCTGCCATGTGAGTTCGGAATCAATCACAAGAAAGGTCGCTGATGCGGTCATAGCAATGGGATCGTTACCATAGTGTACCGATAGTATCTGAGGTTTACCATTTTTATTGTAAAATTGTATATATTTTGTTTTACTAATATTAATTTTCAAATCTTTATGTTTTAGCCAATTCGTTAAATTTCTTATTTCATTATTTATTTCATCATTATAGTCAGTGTTAGGTTTCTTATGTATAGTTAAAGAAATATCGTCAGCATAGAGTGTTACAGGATATTGCGTACATTTTGGAAGGTCATTGATGTAAATGATGAAGAGTAATGGTCCCAATATACTACCCTGTGCGACACCTGAGTTATTCGCCCTAATCTCCGATCTGTACGTCACACTCAGACACCCATCATCCACCCTCGATACTTCCACAAACTGAGTCCTTTCATTGAGATAGCTCCTTATCCAGTCATAGGCTGGTCCTCGTACACCATAACGCTCCAGCTTATACAGAAGTTTCTAATGATTGACAAAGTCAAAGGCCTTACTCATATCGAAAAGAATGGTGGATACGGGAATCCTATTACTCATATGAATCGATATGTTCTTAATAAGGGAGTAACAGGCCAGTGCTGTTGACCTTTCCTTCCGAAACCCTAATTGTTCCTCCCCAATTACGGTGTGTTTTGTAAAAAAAATAAATTAATCTTACCAGCATGATCTTTTCAAATATCTTTGATAAAACTGGGATAAGTGCAATGGGTCTGTAGTTGTTTAAATTATGCCTCTCTCCGCATTTAAAAAGTGGCTTGACAATGGACATTTTAAGAGTGCTCGGAAATTTACCCTCTTCAAAGCAACGATTCACAAAGTGTGCCATCAAAGGTGCCAACTCACTTGCACAAACCTTTACTACCTTCGCACATATCGTATGACCTGTGGAATTTGTGTTGTTCAGAGTGTGTATAATTTTGATTATTTCATTTTGGTCGGTGGGGTTTAAAAATATAGATGCGGTAGTACTTTCGATGATATTCAGTTTATTTGAGTTACATTGATAGTTACCAGATACATTTGGCAAGTCAATAAAGTGATTATTAAATGTGATTGCAATATCTGAAGAATTATCTATAATTTTGCTATTTATTTTTAGGTAGTCAATATTATGTTTGTCATTAAATTTGTCTTTGTTATTTATTATATTCCAAGTGGCTTTGCATTTGTTTCTGGCTGTACTAACATATTTTTCATTAGTGATTTTTTGCGACAATAGTATACATTTCCTAAGTATTTTAAGAGTACTGTCGATATATATTTTTAGTGTTATATGTATGTTTTTTATAATAAGACAAACGTAATTTTCTTTTAGTTTGACATGATGTTTTAAACCCTTGGTTAGCCATTTTGATTTTGTGTTAGCTTTATTAAAAATCTAATTTTGTATTTTGGAAATCATAATAAGGTTTCGCCATGGGTAGCTCATCAAAACATATCTGAATTTGTTCAGTTGTCAATACTATAATCACGTCTCATTTCAAACCAAGTTTTAAGAGGTGCTTTACGCAATTTAATCGGTACAGACTACAGACAATAGTGGAGCTGTATTAGTCTGAGAAGCACACGGCTTTATAATTATACCCGACTACTTCCCTTATATTGCTCGCGAAATGATCTATACAAGACTCATCTCGTGAAGGTGTTTTAATATGCAAGTCCAGATTGTAGCTCGTTAAAGTTTCTATTAATTCATCGGATGTATTACTTTTGTTTAAGGGTGTATATATTCCAGTCTCCTGTGATAATTATATGTTTTTTAAATGATTTTAATTTGTCAAGAAGAAGATGCAGTTTATTAAAAAATATTTTTACGTTCGCTGTTGGAGTACGGTAAATACACATAAGGATTATCTTATATTATACTATTTCTAATCCACAACATTCGAAAGTCAGTTCTGATGCCAATTCCTCTAGAAAAGGTAGTTCCTTAGTCGTGATTGAATTACAGTGTAAAATACAAGAACCACCACGCCTTTGATTTGACCCGCAAAATGAAGCGCTCAACTTGTAGCCTTTGAGATTTATGTTTGACTCACAATATTTCTTGACAAACGTTTCGGTTAGACAAATTACAACTGGGATTTCCTTTTTGTCCAACATTTCATTAAGTGTTATTTCTATTAACTTTTTTATAATTTTTACTAAAGAAACCAGCTATGTTCTGGTGCATTACACAAAATGAGTCATTGTTCATAAAAAAGGAAGTGTCTGTGATCTCCGGTTTGGTGTTTGTTGAAATTCTCCAAGTGGGGTGAGACATGATTCCAATTTTGGTGAACAAGGTGAATTGATCCTAGTGGTTCATTACTCTCCCATGACCTTATATGTTAACCTAAAAAGGTTTACATTTGTGATGGGATGCATGTATGAATTCTTAAAATATACCAAAGCACAAGTCTGTCAAGAAATATGTAGAGGCTAGGCGACATCTATTACATCTATGTCTTACAAAAGCATAATGTGTGAAGCCCTTACATATAAGTTTTATTTTGTAGTTTTTTTTTTCTTAAGCGATATATTTAAATTAGGATTACATGGTAGACCACAAATAACAATATTAGTGTGACATTTCAAATTTAGCCAGTTTAAAAGTGTGTTTTTTAGGTTCAAAGGGTTGTTATCATTCATACCTCCCATAACTACGACAAAGTCATGCGACGCGAGATTACACAATTCTGTATTGCAGGTGTTAATAACTTCCTGAAGGCACGCACCATCCTTCCAAAAGCATGTTACCATATAGTTTGTATCTAGTAATCGTTGTAAAGCTTGTTGTACGCCTTGTCCCTGTTGGTCAGCTACTCACCACAACTTTAATTTTTCTTGGAGCTGGGGTTTCTGTTGTGTGCTCAATTTTTTCCTCAAGCACGAATGGTTTCTCCTGAAGTTTTAACTTCTCTGTTGTATTTATACACCTTTCATTAGCATCATGATTTTGCAGGCTATGATATAGTTCTTGTTTCGCTTTATCCTTCTTTGCGTATTTTTTATTATTTTTATTTTCCTTTTTCTTTTTATTGCTGGTTGTTGTTGAGCATATGGTTAATAAGTTTCTTATTTGTTGGCCTTGTGCTTTTATTTTTATAGCCATGGATTTATTTTCTAACATTAAATTGTCTATTTCGTTTTCAGTTGATTTATGTTTTGACTTTAATTCTAAAAATTCATTTTTCATAATTTTTAAGTCTTGATTTTGAAGTGTCGATAAATCTGTTAAATTCTTAGTTGCCAAGCTACCAGATTTGGACTGTGATAGGAAAGAATCTGTCATTGCAATAATTGGCAGTGACATTTAATGTGAGCTTCTTTTCCTTCGTTGAGTCACATAAATAGAACAGTCAGGTACCTGGTGTGATGATACTTCATGAACAGTGCAGACGTTCGCCGTAGATAATGCATCCGGTGAGGCCAATTCTGGGTTAGTTGGTAGTATAGGTAACGGCTGCTGGTAAAGAGATGTGATAATGACGATTTTATGCTGATAGCAGTCTCTTGCTCAACGGTTGTTTTATTTTTATCCGTAGCGACCGTCACTGACCTCCTATGGTAGAATTTTTCTTTGTAGTTGTTAATCATCATGGTGTAACGTATGTGTTGGTATACCACAGGGAGGCGTTTTATCTCCTTTACTTTTTGCAGTTTTTAAAAACTCAATATCCAAAATTAAACCCAAAAACAAACCCCCAAAAAAAAAACGTAAACTGCCTTGATCACCTACCTCAAATAATATTTGATAAAACTATTATCCCTTACAGAGATTCAGTGAAGAACTTGGGGATCCACATAGATAAAAATCTGTCATGGGACCATCAAATCAGAGATTCACCGTAAAGTTTATGCCTCTGCAGCCTCCTTGCGTAGATTACGTAACTTTCTTCCCATTTATACCACAACTACGCTTGCCAAGTCCCTTCTCTTCCCTATTTTTGACTACGCGGACGTCAGCTATCTAGATCTCACCGAAGCTCAGCTTGATAAACTTGAGCGAATTCAGAACTTCTGTATAAGGTTTATATTTGGATTACGCAAATATAACCATGTCTCTCTTTTTCATACTAAGCTCAAGTGGTTGTCAATCAGTGGCGTAGCTACCTAGGGGCTAGGCGGGGCTGTGCCCCGGGGCCTTCAAAGCTCAGGGGGCCCCCGAATCCTTAGCAGAAAATCTCGATCGAACCGAACTTTTGAAAATTTCTCCCATTTTCAAAATAAATATGACAGGTTGCAACCCGACTTTAATCATGGCTACTCAATTGAGAGAAATTATATACCTAGGGAATTCCCCTAAATTCTTTCTGTGGGTTGGCAGTGTTGTCAAATTGACGGATAGCGATATCTATTATTCATCGATGTGCGTTTTATTGTGAATTCGAGTCAAGATTTTTTTTTCGAGAACGGTTAAAAAATTAATGCAGTATCAGGAGTAAGTAAGCTAACGCCAATAAACTTTTTAGTACTGGCCAATATAGTAGTTCAATTTTATTTGATTTTAGTACCACTCATATTGGTGTCCGTTACGTCCATAAATTATGTCAAATCTATAGATTTCGGCCACTCACTGTATAACGCGAAATATCGTGAAAAAAAAATGCAGCTCATTAGGTGCTGCCTGCAGTAGGTGCATTAATTCAGGCCCGCGCGCGAGGAGATCGTTCTTGGTGTCCACCTTTAAATGTGGTAACACTAACGGCGGTAAAATGTTCGCCAGGGATTCCCCAACGACGTCTTGTAGCGTATCATTACGTTTCTCCTTTCTTTTACTTTTAACGCCGTCGGTGAATAGTGAGTACCTACTCGAGCACAATCTAATATAAATATTGCATAAATAAATTAGAAAACCAATATTATGGACAAAAAGAAAAAACCCAGTGGTGCATTTAAACGCAGAAAACGACAAGAAAGAGAATTTTTTTGTCGTAAACAAAAATTTCCCAAAATTGACAATTTTTTTCTACAAGTACTTCTGGATAAAATATTTCTATTAATAGTAACTCAAATAATGTGGTAACTGCAGTGTTGGTTGAAAAGCCTACTGAAGAAGATTCGACAATTATTGCAGTTGAGATACCTCCACCGCAGTTATATTAGTAGTATAGTTGTAGCACAAATGGGTCGGCTCCACCGGGGAAGGACCACGCTCTTACAGAATACCAGCGTAAAATAGTTGCTTAATGCTGCTGTATTTTGTATGGTGAGTGTAGAGAACCGGAGACCCTTTTTACTGGAAACGAGGTATTCCACCTTAGTCCTCACGGGTAACAACGCATCTGTATTTTGATTTGTATTCGAGGATAGATGTGGATGTCTATGGGCTGCAGCAACCACTTACCATCAGGTGAACTGTGTGCTCGTTTGTCACCCTATCCTATAAAAAATGCATTCGTAACTTTACAAAAATGCGACATCAATTTGGACGAGGCAAGTAAAGCTTTAGCAGAGACCAAAGCAAAGTTGTCAAAAATGATCTCAAACTATTCAAGTGCAGGCCAGTGAAACTGCAAGAAAATACGGTATAGATCCCCGTTTTCAAAAAAAAATGCAAAGGAAATTAAAAAAGCATTTTAATGAATTAGCTTCTGATCATTGATTTCCAAATAGAAAAGAAATATTTAAAATTGAGATTTTCAATAATGTACTAGACCCATTAATATCTCAATTAAATACACGATCTACTCGTATGCGTGCAGTCTGTCTAATATTCGATTTTTTTACACCAACATTTTTATTACATGTTCATGAAACAACTTTATTAGAAGTGTGACGAATTCTAAAGAAAATATTCGGATATAATAGGCCCTAGCTTTTCACTTCAATTTATTAATATTTACCACCTAGTTTTACCTCAATTAAGTCAAGCATGGACTGTTCACCAATTATGTAAGGAAATAATGAGCAAATATGGAGTGCTAACGTATCTAAGTCTCTACAGCATCTAAGTATTTACAGCAATGTTATTATTCTTTACAATTTCTATTTAGCAAATAAAAAAAGAAATTGTATGGGCCATAGTCGACTCCGATATTTATCGCTAATAACAATTGAAACGAAACTGCATCAAGCCTAGATTTAACCGAAGTCATTGATACTTCTGCGAAAAGAGGCTAGGAAAGGGTTGTAAATATAATGGCTATTTAGTCAGTTGGTAGGTTCGACCTTTATATAATAAGCCTTTGAATCTTTTCTCTTACATTTTATTGCCCAATATCTTCACCAAGTATTAATTGTAATTTATGTTGTTACTGTTTAATATTTTATTATCTGCCCTGCAGCATGAAAAAGAGCTGATGATAAAGTAGCTTAGCGTTTTTAAAGTATTTGTATATTTAATATTTTTACTTGATAAAACCTAACTAGTTTAGACAGCAGTTGGGCTCCATTTTTTGATTTGCCCCAGGGCCCTTGGTTACCTAGCTACGCCACTGTTGTCAATACGACTTCATAGGAATGCTCGGATACTTCATCTTTTCTATAGTGTTTTCTTTAATTCTCCTTACCCTTCTTAGCTCAAAAATCGTTTTGAGTTTCTTCGTGATCCCCATACGCGTAACCTGAGATCAGCAGAGAGCTTGAAATGGAATATGCCACTACACACTAGTAAATATATTACATTTTTTATTACATTAAATTTATTAGTAGATAAAATTAAGTTTTTACAATTAGCAGTATGCCTAAATGCGGAGTTTGCGGTAAATTCCTGTCAAAAAGGGAACAGTATTCGTTGTAATTGTTCCGCTGCTTTCCACAAGGCATGTGTAGGGATTCCAGAGACTTCTTCTGTAAAGGGCGCGTGCGTTTGTCCCGGTTGTAAAATTAAAAAAACTAGAGAGGACAACACTTTTACTCCTGTGAAGGGACTGGCTGACACATACCAAAGTACTCCTAATAGTACGAATAATTCAGCGGACAATACCACAGAGGAACTCAAGGTCGATCTGGTCCTAGAAGTTAGATCAGAGCTCAAAGCCATTAGAGAAGAGGTTCAGGAGTGTCGCCTAGAAATATCGGAGTTTAAGGCCACACTTAGTGCGTTTGAGATAAGAATGAGTGAAATAGATTTCTGCTCTGGAGAACAAGAGCTCCCAAATAGCATCCCCGTCAAACACTAGCGCACTTGAGGATACTATCACCGAACTGAAAGTTCAACTTAATAACAGGGACCAGGAGCTCCTCTCCAATGACGTTGAAATATCCGGCGTAACTGAGCTTGGAGGAGAAAATCTTATGTCAACAGTTACAGTTCTATCTACGAAGCTGGGAATAACATTAGACAAAAGAGACATTGTTAAGGTGTATCCCTGACCAAAATGTTGCGAAAGTGCGTTTTTCGGAATCTATTATCTCATTAGTTATGAAAAATAAACTACATCTAAAAGTACATTATTAATGTTCGATATCTTATCATCACATTCCACGATCTAATTTATTTTTATGTGCTATAAATACTTTTTTTTATGTGCTATATATAAGTGCGGGCGGCTTTCCGCTGTATGCGTTCGCAGGAGGTGGCTGTGTCGCCGTCGTCGACGTTCCGTATTTCGCCGCAAACATAATATTATTTGAGTACCTACCAACCTATGCGCTTACGTCACAGTAATATTATTTATACAGTATTGTAACTCGGCCGTATCTTTGAAATAAATCCTACAGCCGTGCGGTACGTAAACATGCGATAGGGCTGCCTGCCTCCAGCATTTTTACATTTGCCCATTGATTTATGTGTTGTATAACTCAATGCATTTGCCTACTTTGTGTTTCCATTTAGTTTTATGATTGTACTTAAATATACTTTTTTATATAAACAAATATATAATAGGTACTTTGTGAATTGAATAGGAAGTGTTCAATAAAATGCGTGTCGTTTTTTGATTGGTAGATTTAATTAAAAAACCATGTTTATGTTTGAATAACAAATCGGTCTTATAAATTTGCGGCCGAAAAATATTTGCGCCTCGGCTGAGACGTACGAAATGCTTTATTATTAAAATTTTAAGTATAAAAAATCCGCATTATAATATTAAGCTTAATTTAAAATTGTTTTGGGAAACATGGACAAGTTGGAGTAAAGGAATATCTTTTACTTGGTTATAGATACCTACAGCTACTTTACAATTTGTATGTTTGGTTTTAAATGAAGTTTGGATTTATTATTTTTTTATTTCTATTATATTTTCTGAAAGGAATTAGGAAAGGAAAGGAATTGTCCACCGCGCTACCCTAATGCGTGTTGGCGAACTTCGCATGTCTTCGAAATATTTTTTTCTTATTTCTTAGACATGTAGGTTTCCTCACAATGTTTTCCTTCACCACTGAGCACGTGGTAAATCAACACTTAAAATTGCAATATCATTGGTGCCGGCGGGGCTCGAACCCGGTTTGCTCGCGCACTGTGAAAATTTCAGCAAGCGCTAACCATCTGAGCTACCACGGCTCCTCTCCTCTCGAGCTAGAGACTTTATTTTATTTATGGCACGATTTTTGTCGCATGCCAGCGCTTACTTTTGGTTCTGGCAAAAAGTTGTGAAACGTCTGTGAACGTCAGAATTGTGCAAATGTTGGTCGCACATATTTTACCTGCACTTCAAAATTTTATTGTGTGAGTAACTATTTTTACGGATTTGATGAACCATATTAAATAAAAAATAGTCTCCTATCTTTCTCTCTATGTTTTGATCTCCTAAAACGAGTTTGAGTTGGTAAAATCAAGGCAAACTTAGGGTAGGGTTGTAAATTATTATTTTGATAATAAAACTAGTAAAATTCCGCGGTTTTATATACGCAAGCGCTGTTAGAACATAATATAACCTTTATGTTTTACATAAATATCCTAAAAAAACTTATTATTTTAATATGTTCCTACCTATAAAATTAACAAGTTTATTGCATTTTATTTGAGTAATTTTTTATGCAATTTCTTTATCTACTTCTATTTTTAGGAATCTTTATTTAGCCTGAATCATACTTACTTATACGTAGTTTTCTTTTTTTGCAGTTACAAATATCTTGTGAGGTTGAAAAAGGCAGTAATGAAAAAATAATAAGAAGAATAATAATTGACGTCAGCCACTTCTTTTCATAAAAATTTTATATCACGGTCCATTAGGTTGCAGCTTCACCGAACCACAACTTATAATAATAATAACAACAATAATATATTATAATAATAATAATAACAATAGGAACTGGAATTAGAGCATATGAGGAGTACATTGGAAGAGACGATTGTGGAAACGCGCAGTACGCCTCTCGATAATCGACCGCGACTTCCCCGCATAGCCCTAAGCAAGCGGAATCGGGCTGTCGTGAGGGCTCTGAACCCAATGCTGGTGACCTATTTGGAAGCTAGCCGGTACCTTTGCGAGACGGACTCAATTCTTTTTGGCGCCGCGCTGGCAACCTGCCGTATCATAGGCGCCAAGGTTTCCACGGCTGGACGCGCTACTGGCCATAGTAGCGCTATCCCAGCATGGAGAAGAAGAATTGAGGAACGTATCGCAAAGGCTAGAGCTCTCATCGGCAGACTGATATGCTTCAGATCAGGCAACAACAGGCCAAGAATTGTGCGCACAGTCAGGATGGCGTTTGCTGGGACAAATGTCAGTTTGTCGGACGGAGCGCATAGATGATCTGAAGCAGAGAATCGCTGCTTGGGGAAAGCGGATTCGGCGATATACCGAGAGGTCGACACGGTTCAAGCAGAATCGTCTCTTCCAGAGTGATCAGAAGAGGCTCTATGAATCATTGGAGCGACCAATGGTAAGTGGAACGGGTCCAGCACCGAATCAGGCCGACACTGTAGCATTCTGGCGCGGCCTGTGGTCAGAGCCCGTAAACCACAGCGAGGGCCCTTGGACGGAAGTTGTGGCGAGTCAGTGTGCGGGTATTACGCCCATGGACCCCGTCATCATAACGCCGGATGACGTAGCTGAGGCGGTCCGTAGGGCCCCGAACTGGAAAAGTCCGGGGCTTGACGGGCTGCATCACTACTGGCTGAAGGGGTTCATGGTGTGTCACTCTGTGCTCGCCCGACAGTTTCAAGAGGCTCTCAACCAGAAGTCGCTCCCAAGCCTCTTCACTACTGGGATCACTCATTTGGTTCCTAAAGACCAGGGTACCACAGACCCGAGCAAATACCGCCCCATCACGTGTCTACCGACCATATACAAGACACTAACATCCATTTTGAGCGCGAGAATCACTTGTCACCTGGACATAATCAGGTGATGTCGCGCGCTCAAAATGGATGTCGGGGCAGTGGTCGTGGAACCAAGGAACCACTCCTCATTGACGCGGTCATTGGCAAAGTGGTGAAACGCAACCGTCGGAACTTCTCCGCCGCCTGGATATACTACAGAAAGGCATTCGACTCGGTGCCCCATACATGGCTAAAGAGAGTCCTCGAGCTGTACAAGATAGACTGTACAGTTAGAGACTTCCTCGAGCAGTGTATGGGGCAGTGGAGTACGATCCTTTGTCATCTGGGTGAGCGGATGATGGCTGCGGAGAACCACATAAGGATAAGAAGGGGTATCTTCCAGGGCGATTGTCTGAGTCCAATCTGGTTCTGCCTCTCTCTGAACCCTCTCAGTACCTTACTGGAGGGCTCCGGGAGGGGATTTCAGCTACAGAAAGGAGGGACAAAAGTGACCCACCTTTTCTATATGGATGACCTCAAGTTATTCGCCTCCAGTCGCTCACATCTTATGGAATTGCTAAACATCACTTGTGAATTTAGCAATTCCATTGGAATGGAGCTTGGGACGGATAAGTGTGCGGTCCTCCATGTTGAAAGGGGAAGGGTTGCTAACTCTGAGGGCGTAGACTTATCTATGCCCGTCAACTTAAGGACCCTTTCTGAGGCTGAAACATACCGATACCTGGGTATGTCACAAAACATCGGTATCGATGAGACTGGTATGAAACAGTCAGTTTGCGACGTGTTTTATGCACGCTTGACCAAAGTGCTTAACAGCCTTTTGTCCGGTGTGAATAAGGCACACGCATATAACGGCTGGGTCATGCCTGTCCTCATGTATACCTTTGGCATACTCAGGTGGACTCAGACTGAACTTAACGCGCTGGATAGAAAAGTCCGCACTACCATGACGTCCCATAGGATGCATCATCCGAGATCGTCGGTAATGAGGCTGTACTTGCCGCGGAAGCATGGTGGTCGTGGCTTCCTGAGCGCGCTCACCATGCATAATCGCGAAGTGTGCAGCCTTCGTGATTACTTCCTGGCGAGATCGAATGATCCATTCTATAAGGACGTCATTTCTTGTGATAAAGGACTTACCCCTCTATCCTTAGCCAACGAGCAATGGCAAGACCCGGCAGTGCAGAGCATTTCCGACCGGGATACCGTATGGAAGGAGAAGGAGCTCCACGGGAGGTTCTACAAGGCTCTACATGAGCCTTTCGTAGACACAGTAGCCTCCCTCCACTGGCTACGCTTTGTTGATCTCTTCGGGGAAACCGAGGGTTTTGTCTGTGCAATACAGGATCAGGTTATTAAGACCAACAACTATCGGAGATACATCCTAAAGGATGGCACCATCGACATCTGTCGAGCTTGTCGCCATCCCGGTGAGTCACTTAGGCATGTTATCTCCGGTTGTTCGGCACTTTCTAACTCTGAGTACTTGCACAGGCACAACCTAGTAGCCAGAATTCTACACCAGGAGCTTGCTCTGAAATACGGTCTCGTGGATCGGAAATTGCCGTATTACAAGTACTTGCCGGAAGCCGTGCTCGAAAATGATCGCGCCAGGCTCTATTGGGACCGGGCCATCATCACAGACAGGACTATTCTTGCGAATAAGCCTGATATTGTGCTGATGGACCGGGCACAGTCAAGGATATTTTTGGTCGACATTACCATTTCGTATGACGAGAACCTCGTGAAAGCCGAAACAGACAAGCAAACAAAATATCTGGACCTGGCTCACGAGGTGGCCGACATGTGGAGTGGTCTGCCGACCGAAATTATTCCTGTAGTCGTCTCTGCAAACGGGCTAATCCCAGTCAGCCTCTCGGGTCATCTGAGGCGGCTGGGACTACGTGGCGGACCGCTCCAGGTTCAAATGCAGAATGCGGTGCTCCGCCCTACCGCCCGGCTCGTCCGCCGGTTTCTTTCCCTTTCCCCCTTACCCTCGGCCGTTTGGTCTCCCCTGCCGAGGGCCTCCATCTGGTTGGGCTTTTATTTATTTATGTACTTTTATATTTATTTTATGTTATTGATATTTATGTATATTTATCTTTTCATTTTCATTTATAATTATATATTTATAGAACCCAACCAGATGAGAAAACTATATAGATACCCCACAATAATAACAATAATAAACTCGGCCGTTTGGTCTCCCCTGCCGAGGGCCTCCATCTGGTTGTGCTTTTATTTATATATGTATTTTAATATTTATTTTATGTTATTGATATTTATGTATATTTATCTTTCATTTTCATTTATAATTATATATTTATAGAACCCAACCAGATGAGAAAACTATATTGATACCCCACAATAACAATAATAATATAATATTTTGTATTTATTTTATTTTATTGATATTTATCTTTTCATTTTAATTTATAATTTTTATATATTTAAATATTTGTAGAACCGAACCAGATGAGAAAATTATATGGATACCCCAGGAATAATATATATATATAATCGGAATCTCGGAAACGGCTCCAACGATTTTTTTAGGGACGAACGCTTGGATTTATTTTTAGAAAATGTCCTTTTGTCCGTGTTTTCAGGCAATTAAAAAAACTGCTACAATATAAGAAGGTGAATTTCGACAAATCACTAACGACCGTTACAGCACAGGTGGTATGTCGGTCGGGCGTGATATCGAAGTTCCGTGGTTCGCGTCCTGGCTCTGTTCCGGCTTTTATTCAAGTTCCCTTCTTTTGTGAGAAAATCTATTATTTCAAACCCTTTTTTTAGTAATTTTTAAATGATTTTTTATTCAAATAATCAGTTCAGTTTTTTCTATTCTGTCAATAAGATCAAAAAATATTATTTAAGTTTCATCGGTATGTAATTTATAAATGTAATTTCAAAAAAAAAAACGAGCAAAGCTCGGTCATCCGGATACTATATATATATATATATATATATATATATATATATATATATATATATATATATATATATATATATATAACCACTTATATATATGAGCGTATGTATGCACATATGTGTTCATTTAATAGCTGCAGCCGTTTGTTTATAATTTAAGGAAGTTAAAAAATTTGTAATCAATTTCTTACATTCAAGATAATAAAATTGACTTTATATTTTATTTTGTTCTATTTATTAATACCCACCCAGTACTACTAATCAAAAATAATCACAATATCTCATTAGTTATTGTAACTGGGTAAAAATATCTATTTAGTTACTAATGCTATATTTATTATTTTAATAATTACCTACCCAGTAGGTAAATATTAAAATAATAAATGTAGCATTATAAACAGTAAATCTCCCTCAAACTCAATTTACTAATATTGTTCCTAAATAAGGAATAGCAGATAAAAGATTAGTAGGTAACAACTATTGCTCCTCAAAATTATATTTGACCTCAAGGTAAAACATATCCTAAAATTCAGTAGCTAAATAAAATAATAATACCTACTATTCAAGTATATTTTCAATATGTAAGTAAATGAAAATAACAAAAATGAAGCACCATTAGCATGTAAAGTTCGAATCCATAATATATAAGCAATACAATATAAGCAGTATAGTATATAGTTAAAAATAATCAAAATAGTCATTTTTATTAATTAGATAATGACGAGTGGCTGCGCGCAGCTCGCGTGCGCCGCAACCTCTCCACCGACTCACGAGACGGCAACGCACCTGCAATTCCCCTGGTGTTGCGGTTGATCATGGGCGGCGGTAGTCACTTAACATCAGGTGAGCCACATGCTCGTTTGCCCCCTCTTCTATAAAAAAAAAAATTCTTTTTCCTTGCACGTCAAGAGGGCAAAAAACGCGATTGGAAATATGTCTGGTCGAAAGATGGAAGAATATTGGTTCGTAAAGACGGTGGTGAGAGGGCGTTTCATATCCGTAGTCAAAAGGACCTTTCCAAAATTGTTTAGTCGATTTTTTCTTTATACTGTATACAAACATATTTTTTACTGGTACCTTATTTATCAGTGTCTCAAATTTCTTTCAAGAATATTATCTTACCTTGCATATGATAATTTATACCCCATTGTAAAGCAAATGCATTTTTATTTTTTAGATATGCCTATGATCTTCTGGTAACTTATGTTATATTTATAAAAATAGCCTTTGGTTATGAACGTCTGTGCACTGCAGGAGCAATCTTCAGTTTAAGAGTGTCCGTGAATTCTATTAATATATATTTTGTTATATCTATATACCATATTATAAATATGTTATTTAATGTACTTAATTTATATTTCAAAATATTAAGTCTTTACTCGTATCTCATAATGTTTACAATTTTAATTTATTGCAATAATATAAACGCAATCAAAAAATGTTTTCCGCACCATACCGTATCAGGGTATTCTAAGCTAGTGTTTTACCATAATTTGATTTGTAGGCTTATTATTTTGCTCCATTTAGTAGAAACAA